AAAAAATATCTTTTTGTTTCTGCATATGTCGCAGGCGTTCACTAATCGACAAAATTCAGTGCAAAATTAAGTCATTCGATTCTTATGAAGATAGCAAAACACATCAAAATGTGCCATCCCTAGATGAAAAGTGTTTGAATACAAATGTACCGCTCAACGAAGCAATAGCCATAGCTCTTAGAAAACTGTCTGAGCAAGACGAACCATCAGTAGCTAGCAAATCCATGGACAGACTGTTGAACCTGGCAGTAGGTCAAGTCCAATTCAAGTGCAAGTTCACAGGGTACGTGCAGAAAGATGTTTTAGCAATGGAGGTATCTCTTGCAGTATTTTTGGCAAATCTATCGATGGAGCAGCACAAAATGCATTACAGAAGGAATAGGTCCCGAGTGCAATAAAAAGCTCATGTGGGTGCCGGACATCAACCCGAAAAGACTTCAAGCGGAAACGTAAGCTTAGGGACTTCGAGCCAAAAATTATCTCATTGAGTCATGAAATATGATCAATTCGAAAACTTTTTGAAGATCTTCTCAACTTCATGATTTTTTTTTGATTAGAGAGTGATCTTTCTATATGACTCGGTTAGAAAGTGATTTCACCAACTCAGTTATTTTGGATAAAAAGTTGCTTTTTCAGAACTTTTCTCTTTCCTCTCCTTCTTGTGCTTTTAAATTCCTGATACAGTTTAAAAAGTCTCTAGTCATTCCCGACAACCTTCGTTGGGGCACTAAGCTAGCTATCTGACAAGTCTATCAGTGAAGTTGTCAACAAATATATTGCTTCTGTTTTCTGGAAGCCTGTGTCTAATTATACTGTACCGGCTGTTTCTCCTGATTGTGAAATCAATTTATCGGAAGTCGTGTGTCTCTATCGGTTGTCAGTTCATGTTAACAATCCGTTAAAAACACTTGCTCTGTTGACTGTTTTCCTGCTTTTGTTTACAAATGTTGTGCTTTCCCCTCTTGTTAGTTTTCTTTTTCTTTTTATTATCAACACTTGCGTCTGGCCTGCTGCCTGGAAAGGTGCTTTTGTGCGTTTGTTACTATAATTCTGAAGTCTGGGTCTCCTGAAGCTATTACAAACTGAGACCTATCAGTGTCTGACACACCCTTGGTTTTTGTTTTGAGAAAGTTATCTTCAATCATATATATCAAAAGATTCCAAAAAAATTTGTCAAACTCTCAGCATGGTTTTAGAAAGCAATTATTAATTGTAACACAGTTGCTAGCGTTTCCGGATGAAGTGTACCACATTAGTGATTTCAACTTTTGTTCTGCTGCTGTTTACTTTGAATTTAGTTTAAAAAACTTTGATTCTGTTCGTCATGATATCATTCCAAACAAGCTATCAATGTATGGTTTCGATCATGATTTCTGGTTACTTTTTTTGTCGTATCTCTGTAACGGATCACAGTGGGTTCGTATAAACGCGCATATTTCCAATCCTTGTCCTGTTACTAGTGGCGTTCCTCAAGGCAGCATTTTGGGGACGCTTTTTTTTCTTCTTTTCATCAAAGATCTGCCAGAGTGTATAGAGTTTTTCATTTGTTTTTTGTTCGCTGACGATTCAAAATTGTTTTCTACTGATAATACTTCTCTACAGCATGATATTGATTCTTTTACAAATTGATGTACTGCAAATGATTTATTGGTCAATCACGATAATCGCAGTCTCATTGTTTTCAAAGGCAATTTTCCTCGTCATTTGATGGTCAACAACCAGGAAAAAACTGCCTCAATTGTACTAAAAGACCTGGGTTTAGTTGTCTCCGATAACTTGAACTGGATGACACATATCAATAATAAGCTGTTATCATGTAAAAAGTCACTTCATTTTATCAAACGCAATTATCCTTTCACTGTCTCTCAATCCACCAAGCTCATGTTTGTTAACATGTGTATCAGGAGTATCAATTTGTATGCATCCCCTGTTTGGTTTCCTTCATTCTCTTATATCCGAAAACTTGAAAGTTTCAATCGAAATTGTCTAATATAGGTTATTGGTTCAATGCCCTATAAAGACCAGTTATTTCTCACCAAAACTTTGCTTATATGATCCCATATTATTTTCAACGATGTGTTTCTGTACTACAAAAAGTTACATGGTCTCACAGAGCTGCCGTTTTCTGTGTATTTTTTTTTTGTGAGGTGACCACCAGTCGGAAGTTTACCATCCTCTCCACAATTCAAACAGCAAAGAAGTGACAGACCGAGAAGTTCGTCTTTCATCGCGTTGAAAAATCTGTCAACGACTTGATCTGTCTTGTTCCGTGTAGAAATCTTCGCTCCCCTCGAGTCTTTCAAGAAAAGAGCCATAGAACTTCTCTTAGAGAGAATTGTGTCACATTTTGATCAATTGAACTCTTGTTCATGGTTCTTGAAGTGCACATGATAAAACTGTCGATCTTGACTTAATAATTTTTGTAACCTTAATTAGTTCTTTCTTCTTCTTCTTCCTCTTCTTCTTCTTCTTCTTCTTCTTTTTCGTCAGTAGTTATTTGCGCTTTCATCAAATTTAGGCCTCCAGATGATGTTCAGGGAAGTTGAGAAATAAAAAACAGTTTGAAAATAGTTTTCTTGTTTATAATTTCTGCAGTTTTAAAACCGGCTGATATTATTAACGGGTGCCAATCTGAAGTGATTTATTGTCATAAATAACGCTTATTATGGGCTTAACTTGCCTTAATTTTTGAAAAACAACGTTTTACAGATAAAAAAATGATTTGAGGTCGTTGGGAGGTTTAAATTTTGAGCTGTTGTCCTAGACCCACAGGTCATAAGATGTACAATGTGAAAGCTTTTTGAACTGTTATCATGTAACAATTGACGATATACATCGTTGGAACTGTCTGGTACTGTCAAAATTGCATCGTGCTAAGGAAGAAAATTAAGCCAGTTCAGCGAACTAAAGTTTCTCGAATACCTTGATGATATAGTAAGGACAGTCAATGGTGATCCTGAAGATGTTGCGGGCTAAAAACTTACTCTATCCCAATTTACAAATCCCAATAGAGACAACAACACATTTGCGAAACTCATAATTTGAGATTTACAATTTCAAATTGACACAAACAGAAAAGTCAACTGTGGATGATATCAGAAACCAAGAGACACATAAACCATAATTTTTTTAGAAATTGTTCTCCCCCTGAGTACAAGCAAAGTGTGAGTGAAGAATCTGATCACCGTTCTTTCCGCGGTACGTCCACGAGAAGAAATTTTGATAAAACCATCAAACTCAAACCAGAGCTGTTGTTAGACAGCCAAAATCCAGGATGATGATGGTCATCGCGGGTTGCAAAGATCATCGGGAGGGACAGAAACAAAAATACGACAGCTGAGAAAGAGAAGCCCTGTGATTAATGTAGCAATTCACTACCCATTGATGTTCGAATATCGGGGGAATCAATGTCAGACATTAGCAAAATAAGTGCGCAATATCATCAATGCGCAGATAATTTTCACCATACGGAAATTGGAAAATTATTTCCTCACCTTAAAATCCACCTTTTCCATTAAATTGAAATCAAAAAACGCATACAGGTTAGAAATTTATGGGCGCAAACATAAATATTTCGGCCAAACGGTCCTACATGTTACTACAAGGTTTGAGCAACACCGAAAAGAGGATACCTCTGTTGAAAACATATAAGGTAAGATAATTGTGATAGTCGTCAACCGAAGTTTAGCAGGAAGATAATCGACTAGGCCGCCAGAAACAATGAGTTTAATTCATTAGGAACGCTGCACTTTTTGAAAGATTGGCCGACGACAACGAACTAGAAAACTTTTAAAAATGATAGCTATACAAAATGTTTCCGTTAATCGATAATTCATAAAAATGCAGTACTTAAAAAAATGTACACAAAAATTGACTCAAGATCGATTTTCGTTTAGAGTTTCACAACAATTTGAACTCGATTGTGAGAAAGTAAACTTATTTCAAGATCTTTTCATTTTTGTATGAATTTCTGTACTTCATTGGTTGTTTTCAACCTTTTTCGATAATTTGAGTTTTGATTAGTTACATCAAATTAAGACGTCTACTAGGCAAGGAATAACAAATTAATCTGTTGTGTGTTTTAAGTTGAGTTGATTTCTTTTTCAAAAGGGTATTTTTGATTCAAAAGGTTTTGATTTTTGCAAAAAAATACATATATTTTAGTGGAAAACTGTATCAATTAACCAAACTGTTTTCTTACTTCAAAGAAAATAGCCTGAAAGCATTTGATTTTTCAAGTATTACTTCTTCGTTGTGGTTTTTTTTTAATTTTTCGCCTTTTATCTTTTCGACAAAACTCAGTCTTAGAATTATTGTAAGTTACGGGCACAACAAAACGAAGTAACTCGCTCGTAGTGAGAAGTACTAGCAGCCCAAGATATTGACTCAGTGGATCTACCATCAAACTACTCGCAGACTCTTGCCAGCAGTGTAAAAAGAGTATGAAAGGTTCGGCAAAGAAGTAGAATTCCTCTCAGTTTAGGGTAATTAAAATATCTAATTACTTAAACACTTTAATTTTTTTGTAGATATCTGTTCATTTATTTCATTTCATGTGTTTTGTAACTATCATTTCAACCAAAGAGCAGATCGACGACAATTTTTGATACAATCAAGGAGATACCTTTCCAGGAAGGTACAATACTAAGAAAGAAAAAACATGCTAGAGTTGGCTTTCTTAGCGAGATCACATTTTTTGTAATATTTATGAGCAAATAACTTAACCTAACATAAAAAGTTATGGGTGCCACCTTGGACTACAAGTCCAAGAAAAATGATCAGATTTTTTAACCTGAAAAAATTTTTTAACCAAAAAGCGTTGATCCGTTTTCTTCATTAAACCTTTTGTTTTCACTTGTACTTTGTTAAAAAAAGTTTTAGAACTCAATTTAGTTTGAAACAATTTTTTTCATCATTGTTCAATTCCATTGATTAGTTTTGAGCGGTAACTTTGGAGAACTTGATCAATTAGGATACTTGTATACAATTGATATTAGTTAGAGATTCGCAGGTAAGTTTAACTTCGGTATTGTTGTTATCCAGAAGACAACGGCCGATAGTTGTAATAGGTCCAAAGTTGGTAGTTTTCTTGATTTGCTGCTACTGAAAACCAATCAGTTGTTTGCCATGAAAAAAAAATTGTAATTCAAAGTATTCATAACAGTAGCTTACCAATTTGTAGTAACTCCTCCAATTCACTAAAACATTCACTAATTTTTTTTTCTCGAAAAAACAATATGGATATTGGTCGTAAAAAGGTATTCTGCCAAAAATATACCAGAAGCGCAGATTACAGGCAGTTTCATCATTCTTTAAATGAGATTGAATATAATTATTTGAAAGTTATTGGCCAAAACTTTGTTTTTTTTTCGGAGGGGCTCTCCTGTCACCTTAAGTATATATTTCAACCGAAGGCCTGAGCAAAGTGGAAGCCAAATTTCGCTCCTGTTAATTCCCCTACCACATCTTCCACTTATAATTAGTTCAGTTAGGAGAGGTTGCTTTTAATGTGTTTCTATGAACCTGTTCATACCTCTGTAATTGTGTCTCGTGCAGGTGGGCGATGGCGATGATCGCAGACTGTAAAAAGATGAAGACAACTAGGAGAAAACTGACCGTTGTGATTCCCCTGAACACAGACTCATTATCGTCGAATCTTCCCATGTCGCTTTTTACGATTTTTTTCCACTTAATTGATCAGGGGCACATTTAGAGAGGTAGGTGTCATGCAATTTACACGTGCAGCGTTGGTTCTCTCTTTTTTCCTGTTTTTAGTTTAAATAAATCTTCCTATTTACCTCATTTGCGAACAAAATCGAAATGATCGACTATAGAAAAGTGACCGCGAAGAGGTGCTCACTCTATGTTTTGACCGTCTCGACCAAATTCAGGTTTGTTTCGGCTTTCTCGACCGAAAAAAAAAGACTTTGTGTTTGCTTGACCCATGCCAGATAAGTTTCAAACGTCTCACCAAATTTTGATATTTCCCAATTGACAGATTATTTTCAAATTTTTTCTAAAACGTCCTCACCCTAAAATACCTGTTTCGCTATATATCCTAAGATAATATTGAAAAAAGGATGTTTGATTGAAAGGCCAAATTAGGGTAGGATATTTAGTTGGGGGGGGGGGGGGGGGGAGGGGGCTCTTCCATCTCACTGTTTTGACTCCCCGGGGACTCAAAGAGTTAAAACTTTTCTCCATGGCGCATTGGGCGCCAAGATCTGTTAGTTTAAATGGCATGCGAGTGGGGAAAGTATGTTCTTTATCAGTAGTTTGGGTTCATTTTGTTAGATTCAAAAGGTGAAACCTCGATGTGGTCAAACTAAATACCAGCCGACAAAATCCCCGCCCCTGATCAAAAAATAAATTATTTGCCGCTGAATAATCTTTTAATAACTGAATGATGAGCTTATTTTTTGAAATCGAGATTCCGGAAGTATCAGTCAATTTTCTAACCAAAACAATTAACTGGTTCAATGATTAGAGAAAAAGTAACACGCGCTTCAAAACTTTATTTCGACTCAGCTGATGAAAGCATAATAGCCTTAAGATAAATGCATTCAACTCACAAAAATAATTATTTTAAAGTTTTGTTGAATGCATCCATGACTGAATAATACACAGTGCTGTTTTTGTTTCATCTATCATAAATTGTACTGATCAAGTGTAAGAAAGCCATTCACAAAAAACAGCTCGAATTTTTTTTTGATTAGTAGCAATGATGAGAACTTCGTGATATACATATATTATGATTCAACATTTCTTGCTTTGACCAATCTCGAAGAATGGAAAGCAACTATCGATTAGGGTAGTTTTTTCAAATTTTTATCAGCCATTTTTGACTAACTCAAAGAAAACTCGTAGTGGGTATCGGTGATATGTTACAGTGCTGATTTAAATTATCCGGACAAAATGAAGAAAACTTTAGTTTTCAAACGCGTTTTTCTCAATTTGACTTAAGATTAGACAAAAGAAGAAGAGAACAAAAGTTGCTTAAAATTTCATCAGAATTAATATGGGACAATGTTTTCTCCGAAGTTCTCAACCAAAATTTTGACCCGGGTCATTTTGGTTTTTTTCAATTAATCAAAGATTACGCTGAAACTGCTCTGTTAATTGATGAGAAATATATATCACAAGAAGACTCTTACAGAGCCCAACAAAGTTCTAGAAAGATTAAATCTCCTAGGTGGTAATCTTAGTTATAGTGCTGTATCAAAATTGAGAACTACAATGCATTATATGGTCATTTCATTTTCAATAATTTTTACATGGTGCTAAGATAGTTTTTGTAGCACAGTACTCAAATTTTTTACTTTTTTGTCAAAAAATTTGGCTTTTGAAATCAGTTATAAATACAGTGCGAAGTGTAACAAAAAGCGATTCAGCTATTTAATTTCAAATTACAACATATTGTTTGGGTATCATATTTAAACTATATCGGTCTTGGTTTGGATTCCTAAATAAATTTAAAAAGGCATCTCAGTATCAAGGAAAACTGGTCTGATTATGTTCAATTTTTAAATTAAATCAGACAAAGTTTGCTGAAAGAGGCTGACCTACCGACTTAACTTCCACTAGAGTTTGAACGCTAGAACTTAACGTTTGATTTATACTTAATGGGTCTTCTTGCTTTTTCATTTCATCAATCACATTTTCTATTAAAATAATAACAGGAAATTTTGACCAAAAAATATTCATCTTGCCTAAAATGTTTTATTTTAAGGATTTCTTTTTGGGTTTTAGTTATGGATTCTTTTTAAATTTCTTTCATAAGTCAAATTGATCAAAATTTCCATTGAAACTTGTACAATAATTGTCTATCCTTGTTCATCACATGGCTGGCAATGACTGAAATTTTCAAAGTTTTCCTTTCACTCTATGGCTACTTTTTAAATGATGTCAGCAAAATTTAACAGAAACTGAAAATTATCTCCTTAGAAAGTAGTTGCCATGACAGGAGAATTCGTGTAAATTAAATATCTCAGAAAAAAGTTTGAACTAAAAACTTAAAAAAAATTATCTATAAGATTAGAAATTAACTAATATGAAATTATTTTATATATAACACAGAGGCAAAGCGGAGCTTCGCACCACTTGCGATACAACACAAATATTTAAAAACATCGTTCCTAAAAGTTGAAAAGTGTTGAAAAAACTAGCTGGACCAAAATTTTTGTATGTTTTGATTAAAAAAAACGACGAAGAGCCCAGCTAAAGCTGGAGATAAGTATTTAAAATTTTTCAATTTGTTAGTATCGTGGGATGAAATGCATAATTTCAAAAATAGAACTTTGCTCCAAATTTTTTCCCAATTACATAACAATTTTCATACAAAAATTAAAGATTTGCCGCCTCTGCAGAAGAGTTTTTCGCAATCGGTCTTTTTGATCGACTTTTTAATCTCAGATTTTATGGGATACTTTGCAAATAAATTCAAAAATTTCCGTAAAATGGTCAAAACTTGATTTTCCCAAATCCAAAACTGTTTTCTGCAAAAATAGTTCTCGTGGAACAATTAATCTGAAAATTGGGTAGTTTTTAAGCAAAGCCAAAAATTTTCCAAAAAACGGGCAAAACTTCAAAACTTATTTGATGGTCATAACTTTTTTTCTCCAATGGGGTGTGTAATGATAAATGTAGCTTTTCAACAACCTGCTGTTTTGTTTAAATCTATGATAACAGACTTGGCAAGATAGCTATTAAGAAAAATCCAAAAAACAATCAACAAATGAAAAATTTAACATTTAACAGAACTATAGATTCTTGAAACTTTTGGGTCTAGCTCCTTATGCAGAAGAGATTCACGCAACCTAAAATTTTAATTGAATC